TGCTGATTGTTACGTTCTTCAGTCCAGGAAACATATTTTTAGCCCTGTATCTTACTACACTACCAGACATCGGCTTTTCCTAATTGCATGCATGAATATCTACACAAAGTACCAAAGTCCACCTAGGAGGAGCTCTCTAAGAGAATGCCACAGAGTTTTCTTCAAGTTCCAAAAGTTTGGATGAAGCTTTGGATCCAGAGCGACTGATACGCAAAAACTCTGTGCCCAAGTTAAAAAAATGAAATTCATGTGGTAAAACCTTCATTTGGATCTTTCAGGAAGTAAGTCCCGACCCGGCACAATCAGGGATGGTAGAGAGCAAAGAGAAGTGTGGAGGCGGGGGGTGGTCTGTTCTGAGTCTGCAGAACAGACAGGTGTGAAAGGCCCACTGCTCGCCCAAGGGCATGCTTTCACCCTCATCTACTCCCCGTGGCTTCTATCATGTGGTCAGTGTGATTTCAGAGACGCAGTGGGTTCATCCATTGTCAAAGTTTTAAAGGCAAAGAGCATTATTTAGGGTCTGGTGTTCTGATGGAAACAGGAATCAAAATAAGAAAAACTGACAGGGAAAGAAAACCTCAGGGAAAGCAAATTTAGTGGCCATCCCATCCTCATCTCAAAGTCTGTAGGAGCACAGGCTCTGGAGCCACCCCAAGCTCTGTGACCTTAGGCAAGTTACCTAAACTCCCTCAGCCTCAGTTTTCTCATCTGTGAAATACAGATCATAACGATTATATCCACTTCCAGAACTGTTGTGAGAATAAATATGTTCTTATACCTAAACGGCTTGGTGCCTGACCTAAGCAGCGTGTGTTAGCAATTATTATATTGCTATTATTATTAAAACTTAGAAGAATGCTATGATTTGTTACAACAGGAGACTGTAGTAAATCAGGTCCCTATGCCCATCCCCTACCACCAACAAAAAAAAACAAAAAACAAAAAAAAGCAGGGATCAATGTGTAGGATGTGGCTTTGCAGCACAAATAAAAAAGTAGATTTAGGCTTTTGCACATACTGACCATTTTGACCACGTTGACATTGCAGTATGAAGATGTAAAGGCCTGTGCCTTCACTGCCCTTAGGTTGTATGTTTCACTAGGCTTTATTTTCTTTTTCTTTTTTTTTTTAAAGATTTTATTGGGGAATTGGGGGAGGGGAACAGATAAGTTGCTGTCCTTTTGTTCTTCAGTCTAGTTGTGGAGGACATCACTTCACTGGCCCATGTTGGTATTATCAGTGTGCTCTTCCCGGGTGAAGCAGTCAGTTGCTGGCCTCTGGACTGATGCTCACGGTGGCTCACAGCAGTTCACGAAAGCTCACGCCCACTGCTGGCCAGCCCCACTGCAGTCTACGCTGTTGCCCGCGACTCATGGCAGCCCAGCTCCAGGTTGAGCTGTTATTCACCCTCTTAGCTGTAGAGGGCACAGTGTCACTGGCCCTAATGTGGGATGCGAACCCGGGCCCTGCTGCTCAGAGCTGGCGTCCCAAGCCAACTCCTAACCAACGTGCCACTCGGCCAGCCCTCACTAGGCTTTTTATTGCAAAGCTGCCTTTGGTGTCCTCATGCTATTTCCCAATATCAGTTCTGCATTATTTTTTCATCTACAAATTGAGATTAATTTTCCTAAGATAACAGCAGCTGTATTTGTGTCTTACTCGTAACTCCATTGCATGTAAGTGTGAAATTCAAGCACTCATAAATGACACTTCCTAATTTCCAAGACTTGGCCCTCCTTGCCTCTCTAGGTTTACGTCTTTCCTCCCTCAGTGCTGAGCTATGTGCTAAAGGCAGGCCTGAACTCTGTTCTCCAGCCTTTCTTTCTCTTGACTTACCTGAAATGCTATTCACTTGATTTTTTACTCTGATAAATGTTAGAATGCTATCATCTGCACGAAGCCTGTTGTAAAGTTCCCCCCTATTGAAGTTTTCATTCTAGAGGTCATCTCATTCTGTTTTAGGTGGACATTCCAATTCCTTCATTAGGTTCCAAGTTCTTTAAAGCAGTGACTGAGTTTGCACATCTTTGCTTTCCCCTCAGGACTGAGTCCCTGAGTCATAATAGATGCTCACTTAGTGCTGAATTGCTTCCAGTGGAATTAAAGGAAGACAATGGCTCCCAACCCGAGCTTGCTCATTCTGGGAGTTTGGGTGCCTCCGCCTGGGTCTGGCCAGGGTAAACCGGCTGCAGAAGCTGTGTGATCCTTTCATTTCCCCCCATCCTGTTCTTTATTTCTAAACTCCTCCAGGAGTCTTTTCTCTTCATGTTTAAATAAATGTTCACACTCTTACACTGTCCTTGCTTTTTGTTCGTGTCCGCTCTAACCTGCTTTGCTTCCTCACAAAGGAGCCGAGTCTCTCATCTCTCTTTTTCACCCTCCTGTCCCCATCTGTCTTTCTCCAAATATTTTTTCCCCTCCTCCAGCCCCCTTTCCTCTATTAGCCTCAAGAATAGAAAATGGCACTGCTTGCAGAAAATGTTTTAACAAGTGAGGCAGGACTAAGAATCTGTACAGAATGGCAATTCCCAGTGGTTTTTCTAAACCACATGAAATCCTTTTGCCCTTGTTTTTATTCAATTCAGAAGGATTTTAGACTAAATCCTTATCCTGCCATATGGGAATAACTGAGTGAGACGGCTGCTATCTAATCTAAGCATTTTATTCAAACATTTGAAGCTTTTGGTTTAAGAAAACATAGGCTGACACTGTTTTGTTTTAGCCAAGGTTTGGGGGAAGTTCTAAACTGTAGTATGTATACATTGATGAATTTCATAGACTAGCGCTATGGGTTACAATCTATTAGTTGGTTCTTCCAGCATTAAACCATTTTAATCCTAGTTATAACTCCAATGAAGGCTGGGTTTCCTCACCAGCTTTCTCAGCTAGCTAAAACTAGATACCATCCACAACCCTATTTAAGCACAATGCAGAAATCATAAATAGATATTCAACAGGAGAGCTTGATTTTGCAAGACAAGATTTGAGGCTGTGAAGAAGCCCTCTCAGAATTGGCCAGAGATGTTGCGGGTCTGAAAATAGCCTGTTTCCTCCCAGCCAGATTTGGCAACTTGAGAACTATTCATTTCAAATCAAACAAATATTTTACCAACTCACAAAATGTTGCTTTTGTTTTGGTATTAATTTTGTTTATGTTTTTAACTAGAAATGTAGTGTAGTAACATGATGGTCATTCAGCATATCTCAGGAGAATTATTACTTATTGAGCATTTTAGCAAGTATTTCTTGAACACTGGCTATGTGCAAGGTACTATATTGAATGTTTCTGGTAATATAAATATGAATTAAACTTGATGTTGGACTGCAAGACATGGAAGAACTAAGACAGTATAATATTGCAAGTGCCACAGAAAACTTGCTAAAATGTTCTGAGGAATGAGAGCTCATCTGGGATTTGCTGAGTGAGAGAAGGCTTTATAAAGGGAAGTAAAATATGAGCTTTGATGACTAGCCATATGTTATGTGAAAATGGGGGGGGGGTAAGGGAGGTCTAGATGGATGAAACATTATTAACAAAGTCTCAGAAACAGTATAATATGGGGCACAGGGAATATTGTTGCGTTTTAATTTTATATAAATGAAAGGGAGAAGTTAGAAATAAAGCTAAATCCCATGGGTTTGAAATCCCAGATTAAACTTTGGTAAGTAGTGAGGGATATTTTATGAATTATTCTAGTCTTTAAGCAACTTCACAGCTGTGTTTTAGGGTAATGAATCTGCCTGCACCATGTAAGCTTGATTGTGGACGAAGAGAAGTTGGAGTTTGGAAGACCAGATGGGAGGTTGTTATAATGATCCAATAAGACTAATAAGAGTTGCTCTAGGCTGGAAAGAGTAAGTTGGAATGGAGGGATAGAATTGAAAAACATCACATAGTGAAAACTTCTAGGGTTTAGAATCTGATTGGAAGATGACAGGAAGACGAAAGAGAGGAGTTAAAAATGACTATGAAGAGTCAAACTGAGAACTGACACCATTAAAATTAAGTCAAGTTGTGCAGGTAGAAAGGTGAGTTCAGCTTTGCCAGAAGTGCATTCATGTATATATGTTCGCCAATAGAAAGTTGGAAATGTGAAATTGAAACTCAGGCTGTGATTTGAAATATAGACTTGGGGCTCATTAGCATAAAGGAAGTGGTGGAAGGTGTAGGAGTGGATATGAATGCCAAGGGAGAGTATAAAGATAGCCAAGGTCAGGACCCTCGGGGGACGGTGGTCTACTTTTAGGTGAGGGAAGATAAGCATAATTGAAATAGTGAGGTCAGGGAAGAGCCAGGAAGACTTAAGACCATGAAAGACTGGACAAGAGTTTCAAGAAAGGAGGGGTTAGTAATATCCATGGAAATAGAGAGGGAAATTAAATGTGATAGTTAAGAGTTCATTGGTGACTTTCACGAGGGTGGTCTTAGAACTGTGAGCTGCTGGAATGTATTCTCTTTGTAAGTCTAGGGTTTATTTATTTATTTTGGACCTATTAAGTATTCTGGATTTTTCCATTTCTTTAAAATAATACAGATAATGAGGATTGTGTGTGTGTGTGT